TAAATACATTTTAAGTCCAAGTAATTTCACCTCTCACAATTTCTTAGGTTTTTGCATATCTGTCCCATTTTATTGACCACTAGAGATAACCTTGGAAAAAACTTCTTTTTCCTATTTTTAAATGGAAAAAGAAGTATTTTTAAAAGCTACCCAAACCTACATGGCTCTATGCAGAACTGTAATTGCCCCCAAAACTTAATAACTTGTGCCACCCTTGACATGAAGAACTTAAATAATTTGCTATAACTGTCAATGAGTCTTCACAGTTTTCACCCATTTGCAGTTTGCCATTACTTTTGTCACCAAAATAAAGTTATTACTTTACATCTGTTAAAAGTGGTTTAAAGTTTAAAGGGTTGCGGGTCGGACTCAAACTCGGGTCGGCCACTCTAATCATACAGGATTTGGTCACCTGCTCATCCCACCAAGCCAAAACATGAGAATAAATAGTGAGAAATACACTATTTTAAGATAACATTGGAAATAAAACAACCAAAAAGAAAGTTTTTATTGGCTGTTTTTTGAAAGGTAATAAATTCAAAGATACAGAAAAAGTTATATTTGTTAAAAAGTCAAAATATTTAGTTGTGACCATTTTTATATTCAATTTTTTCAGAATTAATAAAAAGATATTTTTGTGTAAGATTTGTGTTTGTCATTCTTCTGACAATTGAATTTTTCCCAACATTAGGTTGTGAACTTCTCTTTCTGTCTGTCTTTCCAGGTCCAGCAGTTAGACTCCCAGGCACCCCAGAATGTCGAGACTGTGGGGACGCTGTACGTGATGAAGAGCAGGCCGCTAAGGGATATGGTTGTGGATAGCAACTTCAAATCCGGGGCCGTTGAAGGAGCAGCAGGACAGCAGACTGCAGACAAGTTCCCTGATGTAAGAGAGCCGTCACATTTAGATTTCATCTCTTAACAAGCATTACGTTGCTGGTAACTTTTCAGGTTTAGAGGTATATTCAAAAATAACTATTATTATGGCGTTTTCATGTACTTCAAATGGAAATCTTACAATAGGAGAGAGATAAGGCCAAAATTGCCTTTAGTTGACATTCTCCTGAAAGCTAAGCGCCTCATTTCTAAAACTATGCATCTTTACCATGTGGCTAAAATGTTAATCTTAACTCTAAGCGGTAATGCAGTGATTGATGAAAATCTTAAGTAAATGCATCCCATTGTTTACATCTTGCACCAGTGAGCTAGTGTTTGATTGTTTTATGCTACTTTGGAGCACTTTTTGTCCCCTTGGATTGCCCACTAGTGGAGTTCTAAGACCCAGAGGAAGCAGACATATCAAATTTTGATATCAACTGACATTTGTTATTGACAGTTTAGTCTTTTTAAAACGTTTGACAGCATTTAGTTCAATTCAATTTAATTTTAAATACCCTAAAATTTGATTCCTTTTGGTTTGTGGTTCTTATTTGGTTAACTGTACTGTATGTTTGGAAACTTTAGGCTTTTATGTTACACAAACATTTATTGGGAATTGTTATGGCACCATGAAAAAAATGTCAGGGACTTCTCAAGCAAGAAGCAGCTATTGAGTTACTGACCTTCCGGAAGTTGGAAACCATTCTCCCTCTTGAGCAGGATCTATCATTTCATCAAATTCTGTTAATATTGCTCTATATTTGTATAAAAAAGTACTTTCACTGAACCAATATTCCTTAAGAGTTTTTTTCTCTTTTCTTTTTCTAGGTGAGGACTGTCCATTTGGTCCTGGAAGAGGAAGGCTCTAGCTCATCCCCAGCAACTGTTTCCAAGGTCCCAGGTACTTCCTTCTCTTCGTCTACATCCTCATCCTCCTCATCTTCATCGTCCACCTCTTCCACATCATCTAGATCAATCACTGAGATTAGTGGTCGTGGCGACGCGGACACGTTTGGTTTGGGTGGAGGGTCGCATAGCCTCGGCCAACCCAGTACAAGTCATGTGTCCACCAAAACCATCACCTGCACCAAGAGAACCCGAACAACTGTGGTTCATACAAGCGATGGGCCAGTGGAAAGGACAGAGGAGGTGATAGAAGGAGGACCCGGATGCCAGGTGACAGGAGACTTCACCAAGGGTGGGATAAGCTCCTTGTTCCCCTCTCTCAGCCATACATCTTCATCCTCTTCTACTGGCTCCACCAAGACCGTACATCTCAGCAGCACTAAGGGCAGCGTCTCTGGAAATACCAAAACTGGGTTTAGCGATCCATTCGACTCTGATGTCGGGCTCGACCTTGGCGCGTTTCTGACTGACAATACAGAAGATGATGTTCCTGATTTTCACGCCAGGAGTGTGAAGGTCACATCACGAATCGAACGCCAGGCGGATTATGTAGGAAAAGGTACTGAAACTGACCTGGAGTAAAATATACAAAGCCAAGAAGAAAATGATTAGCTAGATAGCATGCATTAGCATCAGATAGCTTGCTAGCTAGCCCTATGTACCAAAATGATAAGTGAATACAGCATTTTTTGTTGTTTGTTTCTGGAGTTTAAATATTTTAAGATTTCCCATATAATACATTTGATAAAAACATATTTCTCATTGATAGTTTACCAATCAACAAATTCCTGATTAGCGATTAACCAAACTCTCCAAAAATCCTGCAAATATCACCACCCACATCCGTCCTGCTAGCCACAGACTTATTTGCCACAAAAGAGTGTTTAACATAGAGATCAGGAGACGAAGAATCGACTGCCAGCAAGTTTAGCTTTTGTCGATGAAGTGTCCATTTTAGCCAGTCCACGCTAACTCGCGGTTTGCGGTATGCCCCTCTCTGTTTACAGATTGCGTTGAAATCTACCAGAACCATCTGAATGGGGAAACAAATGGCCTGTTTAAGATCAAACCTGGCGGCACCGACTCTGAGGCAGTAGTGGATGTTTACTGCCAGCAGGAGGGTATTATGGGAGGGTGGTTGTTAGTCCAGCAGCGAGAGAGTGGTGCACTCAGCTTCAACCACAGCTGGGTTGAATACCGCAATGGGTTTGGATCAGTGGACACTCAGGGCAAAGGCGAGTTTTGGTTAGGCAACCATAACCTCCACTTGCTAAGTAATGAAAGTGAGACTATGCTGAAAGTTGAACTAGAGGACTGGGAAGGTGCTGTAGCCAGTGCAGAGTACACTATACGGGTAGGATCAGAGGCGGAGGGGTACCCGCTGCATGTCTCCACATACAGCGGGGATGCTGGGGATGCTCTATTAATGCCAAAAGCATCTGATTTATCCCACAACGGAATGAAATTCAGCACCTTCGACAAAGATAACGATAGATCGGAGCATAATTGTGCAGAGATTTATGGGGGTGGGTGGTGGTACAACAACTGCCAGTCAGCTAATTTAAACGGTATTTATTATAAAGGCACATATGACCCCAAAACAAACATCCCACATGGAACCGAGAATGGAGTTGTGTGGGTGACATACAAACCAGCAAATTACAGCCTGAAAACTGTTCGGATGTTTATCCGACCAACTGCTTTTTAACTTGAAAAAACAGGTGAATAGATAACAACCAGAGGACAAAAACCAAAGGTAGAATCAATCTATCTGTGCAATAAGTACTTTCTGTTTGTGAGCATGCTGTGTAAACAGTATTGATTCTTTTGTTAGCACTACCAGTCCAATGTTCTTGCAGTGACCCAATGTTTTTCGTGTTTCTCAACCACTGAACTCTGCTCAATCAATAAAGACTCAGTCTTCACTTTACTCACTGTGGTTTGTGTTCTCATTTCCCACTAAATAAATAACTTGAATTTAATCTTATTGACTTGAATTGAAACTTAAAGATAGAAAATATGTACAAAATCTATCAAAATATTAAACCACATGGTTGCAGAGTAATAAACCACATGTAAAATAACTGGGTATTAGGAGTATTTATATGGTCTTATAGACTGTATGTATAACTGGCACTCACTTTGCTATTAATATTTTAAAAATAAAGCGCAATATAAGGATATATTATTTCATAATGTGAGTAATACAAAATATATGTTAAAATATTCTGAATGGGTATATCTAGTTTGTAGTGTCAAAGATTGCCGCTGAAAAGTAAAGCAGTTAACCATGCTAAGTCATTCTGTGTTTGATGAATTGTATTTATTGTTATGTTGTCTTCCTTCCTTCTTAGAGTTGCTGGGTTGATGATGACGTGTTAGCACACATAACATGCAAATTGAACTCCGCGCAAGAATTAGCCAAAGCAAGTATTGTCGAATGTGTGTACACAAGGAACTGGTGACAAAAAGTTCTTACACAATATGATATAGTGCAAGAAATACTACTACTACTAATGGTAATAATAATTCAAAACTTTAAAAATTTATATGTGCATTGCTGAATTTAGGCATCAAAACAACAGGAACTACATAAAGATTACAAGATTAAAAAACATGAATGTGAAAACATGAAAACAAGATAGTGATTAAGTATTATTACCGAAAATAAGAAAAAGTATTCAGAAGGCATTAAAATGTTATGCACAAGTCATTCTATAAAGGAGATCTGAGTATCCCTTTGTTTTAAACCCTGAAACTTATAACAGTATCACATTCTTTGATCTGTGCTTCAAAATACTGAGTTAAGAGTCCTCAGATTTCTAAAGGAACAAAGTCGTTGTTTTCATTTAAAAGAAATAACAAAAAATCTCACATATAGATGACCTAATACATTTATTAGGCTGTCACTTAATGTATTTTTTTTGTTAAATTCAATTCAGTTCAGTTTTATTTATATATAATATATATATAACACCAAATAACACAGCAGTTGCCTCAAGGCACTTCACATTGTAAGGTAAAGCTGTCCTAAATTAAAAGTATTTATAATAACGAGAATCTTTAATGGTTAATCCATCAGTGTGTGCAAACTCTAATCAAAATTATATTTCTAATGCTAAAATATAACTATTATTATCCATCATTTTTAAAATGCATTTTATTATTTATTAAAATGTATTTTTTACCATATAATAAAGCGCATCTTTAGATTATGATTAAGATGCCAGATAGCAGTTATTTTACTTACGAACATGAACAAAAAAAAAAAAATGGTTCTTCAATGTCAGTTAATTCGTTTTTGTTCAGTGTGAAAGCTCAAATTTCAGTATAAAAATGGCACATTCAGTTTATTTGCCTATAAATAACAATTAAATGAGACATACAACTGTAAAAGTTACCAAGGCACTCTTAGGATACAATTTATTTGAATTGATTTAAATGAAAATATGCTTTGAGTGCTCCAAGAGAGTAGAAAAGCTCTCTATAAGAATCAACTATTTAAATACCAACTGTGACTAGCAATACCTGTGATACTGTATATAACCCATAGAGGGCATTAAAAATAAAAGTACCAATGTGGTCTAGCGCAGATTAGTATGCAACATAACAACAGGATCTACATAAAGATTACATTTTAACTGTAACATCCTTGTGTTTTTTATGTAATAAGTTTTTATGGTCATTGTTTTTATCTCTGGCCTGGTGATAAGGACATTGGAAAGTTATCTTTTATGCTTTTTATCCATAGAGCCCATTTTCACCTCACAGTTTCATAACTAATATTGATTTTGTGCTTGTTTTTCATGTGGAAATGTTAAATAACAACCCCGAAGTTACTGATCTTTGTACAGTCCACAAGTTCCATCAGTGACACAAAATAAACACAAGAAAGTGCACGCAAATCACATTTCGTTTGTACTGTCCTATTTGAATTAGAGCACAGTTGAAGGTGGACTTTTTTTTCCCTCTCTGCAGTGTGTATCAGGTTCAAACAGCAGAATGAAGATGGCCGACCGTCCCCCAGTGCAACCCAGATGTACAGGAAGCAGCAATGTGAAGCAAAACTAGAGACCCCGCTGTGTTTAGATGATGACTGGGTAAGAAGCATACAAGCACATAAATACAACTCTATTGATGAGTACTATAAAGAAAATCATTTGCTAGTTTAAACCATTGTAATATCAGGATGTGAAAATAATTTGAGTTTCTTGAGCTTAAATTAAAAGAAATTCACAGAAAACATGAGGGAAACCAACTTAAGTGCTCTCTTTGAGAGGAAGAGGGCACTTGGGTTTTGGTGTCCAGTACTCTTGACCACCACACGTCAGCTTTAGCCAAAGGTGACCAGCCATACTGAAAGAGGTCACTATGTTAGAAAACCAGCAAACCAGCATTTATTGACTTGCTCAGTCTCATAAACCAATAGGCAGAAAATCACCTTACACAAGCAGCCACCTTTAGCTGAAGTGCAAAGCGCACAGATGACATCTACAAAAACTTTGAATTGAATCCAGGATTTGCTCTTGATAACTGGTAGAATTTAAACATTTTCAGTCGACTTACGTATTATTACACAATTGCTTGAAAACTTAAACTAGCACACCTAAAGTACTTTTTATCTTGCTTTTATTTGTCAGGGATCGCAATCTAAAATACATCAGTCAAAAGGTTTAAGCTGTTTAAGCAGTAACTACATCTGTTCTGATATCCTTCCCTGTTTGAGATCAGTGGGGTTATCATTACAGTTACACATCCTAGAATAAAAACAAAACACCCCCTCTTCTTCCCAAAAAAGGACATAACCACATTAACCATTAAGCCAGTTAATTTGAGAAAAATGTCAATAATGAAATTGTTTCAATCAATTCCAGTTTATTTTATCTGTAACCCATGCACTGACACACATCCAACAGCTGGCAAGATGTAGACTAAATTTCAAAGTTGGTAAAGAATTTGGAAAGATTTCTTTAACGTTTCAATTTTTTCTTTGTAATCTGTCTTAAAATAAATAGTTACTCGTGAACTAAGTGTTATCAGTATAATTCATGAATACTCTGGCACCACTGATAACAATTGATTGTTATGAAGGACAGTCCTACAACATGGCTTAATTAGCAGTTGTCTAATTATTTGAATTATTTCAACCCAGCACCGTGCTACCACTTTACTAGCATTACTCTGAAAAATCTAAAACGCAAAGTGTAAATAAGATGGGTTTTTTTTGTTGTTATGATGCATGATAACTCAGAATGACCTGTTACTATGATGCACTGCCAACCTGACCTGTTCTCTTGTCCTTCTCCAAAGTTTTCTAAATGCCCGCCTGGCTGCAGACTCCAAGGTTTGATCTCACAGATGGAAAACAAAGTGGAAAGAAAACTGCGGGAGGTGTGTAAAACAGCAGAGATGTATGAAGATGCAACAGAGAAGTCCATGACTACAATGACTCACATATACAACTTTAACCGGCGAGTCATCATCAACAGATACAGTTAAGACTCTTTGGGGATGTTTGGATTTGTGGTTGTGGATAAAATAATTCGTAAATACTTACTAAAGTAATGCTGAGTTACTAATGCAGAATTTCATCTCTAGTGTTTAAGCTGAAATTCGTGGAACAAGCAGAAGAATTGGGCAGAAATTTCACAACGCTACAGAAACGATCAAGCAGTCTGTCCCAACAGATAAAAAAACTGATTAGCAAACTGCAGAAACAGACAGAGGAGCTATATCGAACAGAGGTAAGACATAAACAAATACTATTGATTGGTCGATTGTGCAATTGTTTGACTGTATTTACATTTAAGACTTGTTGATTACCTTATTCTTCTGACACTGATTGCTGCAATGTTTTAAATTAATGCCCTAAAACATTTTATTTTATATTTGACACGTTAAACAACTCAGTGTAGTTAGTATTAATGGAATGCCATTTCATAAATGGCGTTATTGTCCTCTATTGCAAAGAAACACATTTCAGACAAGTTATGTTCAACCTGATACATTTATATTTTTTGTAATACTTTTTCTTACTTTGTTTTTTGTTCTTTATGGTGTTTGTTGCTTGAATAACTGCTTATTCAACTTGTTTTTGTTGCCAGGTGGACATTGACATGAAGCTACGAGCCTGTCGCGGGTCTTGCCAGTCTGTGCTGCCATTTGAAATTGATCATCCCGACTATCACATCCTTCGAACTCACATGGAAGACATGGACAAGACTCTAAACAGAAGAGCCAAAGCACCTTTACCTCCTGCAGGCATCCCACATATTAAGCTCCAGCCTATAGACATAGTCCCAGAACCAGCTGAAGGATACAAGACGATCCCGACAGTCCAGAAAGAACTACTGACCCAATTTGAGGACATTGAACAGAATCAGATCATTTTGGAGGAGCTACTGGAGGAGTTAGAGGATGTAAATGATCACAATCATGTAGAAAGGTTTAATTAAATATGGGGCTGACAGAAAACAAGGAAGCACATTGTAATCTTGTTACTTAAATAACCATTATTTTGTTTCATCTGCAAAGTTTAGCTATCGTTTCAGTTTATATTTGGATCAGCAATGTGAGTAGTTTGTGGGCTAGTCTTTTCCATATTTTTCGGTGGTATGTCATTTGAATAGATGAGATAACATGAAGAATAACTCTGATTTATGACATGCTGTTTTACAGTTCAATCCAGGGGCATTTTTGATTAAAAACAATGGGGGGGAAAAGCCTTTTGGTGAATTTAAATATAGTTAAACTACTAACGTTAATGATGCAGTCTGTGTTCTGCTGGGAAACTTTGAGTCAAGGTATTAGTGGATGTTACTGTGACATCTCCCTAAACACACCCACAGTACACTCCCACTTTTGGCAGTGGAACTGCCTTACAGCATCTGCTTTGTCAGGCAAGAGAATAGACCCCACAAGCAAAAGCTAGCTTGTGTTATTACATTGAAGAGGTGGACTGTGCTTTTTTCAAAGGATGATGGGAGTAGACAGTATTACTAATTCTGTGCCTTATCAATGCACCTGAGAAATTCTCCTGTTACCTCCATTCATTATCCAGACAATGCACTCCTGTTTGGTCATCTGTTATTTACCTCACAAACTCCATGATTAGGCAATAAAACTATTACTTTACCCTCGCTGTGCAGTCATTGCTTTATGCAACTTACTAAATTTTATTTGTGTAAGTGAAAATGCTGTCTGAATGGTTACAAGTTGCTATCCATTGTATCCTTATTCTGTTTTATTAAATAGTTTCTGATAACCAATTTTGTTTTATATTTATGTTTACTTGAGTTTACTGGATGACTGGATATCATCCCTGTCAATTATAATCAAAACTTTAAACTCCAAAACTTGCAAAAAATTAAATAATCAATGTTTTTACATTTAATTCATTGTCACATAAATCCTTTAATAGTTTTCTTGGTATGCAGCAAAAATGAGCAGATGATTCCAGTGGTACCAGATTTGTCTTATTTATGTCACAGAAGTGCTCATAGTGTTTAAGCAAAAGAACATTTAAATAGCAAAGACATTTTTGTTTCTTAGGTGAAATAACCAACACAAACAATATAATATGTTCCTCAATGTGTTTATTGAGTAGTCGAGGACAGTTTGCATCAACTCATCCTTATAGTTGTCACACATAACAAAAAAGGACAGATCGCAGCATATTTACTCACAACTAATTAGGTTTTTTTCTCTTACTTTTGTTGGTAACAAGTTTATCTGACATCCCCAACATATTTTTAATACTTGCATTGCTCCTGCATTACTTTAGCCTTGTTTTTTAGTTCTCGTTACAGTTTGTTGACACTTAGTGTTAGTTATTTGTAAATCTGCATGTCATATACCATTTAGTTTGGCACCTTCTTTTATATGTTATGTGCATCGACACTCTTGGATTATCTGGAGGCAAAGTAAGGCCTGATCTTCATGCTAATAGCCTTGAGCGAGTACCAGCTGCCCTTCCAGTTCATCCACACCACACCATCATCTGTGCCATGCTTGGCCATCTGTCGTGTGTAGGCTCCTCCAATGTAGTACCGCCCATTGGGATTGGCTGAGTGGCAGCGATTGTACCACCAGCCACCTCCATCCTCCTTGGAGCACTGTTTGGTGGGATTACCAGGGGTCCTGATTGGTACGGACAAGAAGAGTAAAGTTAAAATGTGAAATTTCTGAAAAATTCTAAATCTGAGCTATTACCATTTACATTTATTACATAACATTACATTTAGATGCTGGTAGATGTATTAACTACTGCCACATTTAGTTTATAGAGGGGTGTTAAAGCCAAAGTCAAAATCCTTTTGAACATATTTAACAGACTGAGTAAACTTGTGGGTCATCCAAAATGCTAAGATGGGCTTGATTTCTTTACATTTTAGTAACATGATAATTAGCTGTTACAGCTAGTATTCTAGTATTTATATTTTAAGTAATAATTTATTATTTACTTTTTTTAGGATACCTACCAGTTGTCGTTGTCTCTGTCGTAGGTACTGAACATCATGCCATTGTGAATGGTCATAGTACGGTTTTCACCAAAGAGCTCAAGAGATCCTTCCAGGAAACAGTTGCCAGCATTACCAGAATAACCACCAACAGCAAGCACGTAGTTGGATGTCTCTGATTGGACAGTGAACTGGTTGTACTGGGCATGGACCTGATTAAAAGCAGAAACCAGTTTTAATTTAATTCCTAACTGACATAGTCATTAGAAGGAGTAGGTGAAAACACTGTAATATTGCATTCATGTCTTCCTGATAATTAACTATTAGACCCTAACCATTAATGCAAATTACAATTTCCTAAATTCAAAAAAACTTTTTTTGAAATTGCTTCTTTTTTTTAGATCAACTATTCAAAACTGTACACAATTTGCTTTATTATCAAATAAACAAATTTCTACATTTAAAATTCACAGGAGTCTACAATTATCAAGCTTAAACTTTTTCACTAGTCCTATGATAATTTCTTGGACCTGCCAATCCCTTTAAAAACTCACCTTGGCTCCTGTCCAGTCCTCCATCTCGATGAGAACCTCAGTTGGGCCCATCTTAGTCAGCTGACTGATACGGTCATTACCCAGCCAGTATTCACCTGTAGGCATGTAAGAAGGTATATTACAGTAGCTGACCAGAAATAAGTGTAACCATTAAGAAAGGGTTACAGTACATTTTTGTCTTGTGTTTTAACTCTCTTACCAGGAGTCGCACAGTGACCCTTGCCAGAATCAAAGGCAATATTTCCAAATCCACGGCGATATTCGTCCCAGCGTCGACCAAAGTCAACACTGCCATCAAGCCTATTCTGGATAAGAAGCCATCCTGGGAACAAATTTAAAAAGGAAATGTAAAAAAGACAAACCTTAACTGAAAACCATTAAATCACAGTAATGATCAAAGAAAAGTCTCACCTCCATTCTGGGAGGCCTGATCACAGAAAACCTTGTATGGAGGGTAAAAGGCATCAGGCTGGATCATATACATCTGGGAATCTACTCCTCCCCGACGGAAGATGTCCTCACACTCTTTACCTAAAACAAACAAAAGAAAAAGCTTTAACATCTGTGGAGCTTCTAAGTCATTCAGGTCATGATAGTCTTAAGTGTTTAAGTTCACAGCAAGTAGCCTCTCTCTAGCTTTTTTTGTCATTTCTTACCAGAAACTACTGGTATGGGACATTTAGTCTTGCATGGCGTCTTGCACTCATCCCTCTGGGCCTGGATGGCCTTCTCCAGCTTCTGTATCTTCAGCTTGATCTTGTCCAGGACCCCCTGGAGTCATGACATGTTATAAATTAGAACAAGGCTGATTGTACTGTTTTTGTTCTCATTTTCTATCATATAAATTCTACATGGTTCCTAAACTTGAAAAACACACTGTATCATTATAATTATACTATTATATGTATACTACTATGTCACTTTGTATTTACCTGCAATAATCTGATATTGGAAGGGAACACAGTATCCACTATCTCTTTGATGTAGGTGTGCTGCTCCTCCACTCGGTCGGTGTACTGACTAACTACCCTACTGTTGTCTAAGAGCACAAGAAAACAGAAAAAACATGTTCAGCATTTCACATTTTCAGATATTATTTTAAGGCAGGCATTTTTAATGAAACAACTATTATAAACCAATAGTGTTTAATGGTTACCATAGAAACTTTTTTTGCTTGCTTTCTAAAAATTTTGTATTTAATTAGATGTGATTCACTGTATTTCATTGTATTTGTTTTATTTATTAACTTGTAACACTCACAGAATTACTGGCAATTAGTTATAATTGATATATTGTAATGTCAGTACAAATAAATTTAATCAGGCCATAGTTATAAATAATCTTTGGGTTGTTTTTTTTTTTTACATTTTCAGTGTTATATTGCAAATTTCTTTCGCACCGTTGGATAGTCTTTGCCTCTCCCTCAGCGAGTTGGAAATGCCATTGACGTAGTTGAAGACAGTGTTGGAGGACTGGGACAAATCATTCACCTGAGGCTTGAGTTCGTCAATGCTCTGTGTAAAACAGTTGCAAAAAATAAAACAAATACAGGAGGTTGAACTTAGTCTTTTCACAAAGTAATGATTTCCCATAGTTGGTTTAAACTCATATCCAAACCAAACCTTATTCTGCTAATCATAGCAGCAAACATTTTTGCTAATGTTTGCTTGGAAAGATCTCAAAGATGATGACTACCGCCCTTTAAATGATTGCACAAGTTTGATTTACCCTCTTGACATTTCTCTCTTGCTTCAGCAACGTGGTCTTTAGATCGCAGCCAGTGGGACACAAAACACCCTGATGGACAAAAGCAAAACAAGTTAAGCTAACTTCTCTTGTGTCACTAAAATACATGTTCTTTGACTTTGTTCTAATTTTCTGACTTCAAAGTAGCTTATTAATGTAACTTAAAGGCAATAAAAAACTACAGTTAACATCAGCAATTAAAGGTTTCCCAAGAACACCCCAGTCACAGACCAATTGATTTTGATGGAAACTGCTTGTTTTCAGCTAGGTGAACCTGGTCACAAATAGGCATATGGTGCTTTCTTTCTGCGGTTATCCCATAGCTTGCATGGAAGCAAACATTGATCAACTAATTGTGGCAGACTTTGCATTTTATTTGTACATTCATAATAAACTGAACACTAAAATTTGCACTTTTTACTTTTCATTTTACTTTTCATTGTAGTAACTAGTTGGACCAAATAGTTGCATATCCTCACTATCTGCACATCCTCTACAGAGAAAATATCAAAGTACAGTATGACAGTAAAATAATAAGGGCACCTTATTTACCCTTTTTAATTTACCCTTTACCCTTTTTAATTTTTCATATTTATTTCCTATCTTATTCATAGCCTTTCCTTTTTTGTTTTCTTTAGGTCACGAGCAGTTGTCCAAGCATTTCACTACATATCGTACTGTGTATGACTGTGTACGTGACAAATAAAATTTGAATTTGATTTGATTTAATGTCTATATAGTTGTGCAATATACTGGGATATTCATATTAGAGCTATTTGTATCCATTAAACCTATTTTGTTACATTTTGTAACTACGCAATATATTGTGTTAATCAATTGTGTTTAGTTAGGAACTTTTCTTGCTGTACTGGAGCAACTGTGACCACATAATTTCCTCTTGGAAAGTATTCTGGTCCTGACATCACCTAAGACCACTGGCCTGTATTTAATTGTATGTGTGTTACTATTATCTTTTTTTTTTTTTTTTTTTTTACCATCTCCTCTGAAGCATGTGTACATCCTCCTGCCTCGGGCTGCTCAACTTTCTCCTGCATCTGTCGGCCACCAACTGGAGCAGGAGTGGGGCGCCCACGATACCTTAATGAAAAAAATAATTTAAAAAACACACACAAATATACCGGCGATTATTTGTTATTTGTATCCCCTACAGTGGCACCGCAGACCACATCATGCCACTTTGCTGTATTTCACAAAATTTTATTATTAACGAAATTTTATTGCCAATTTTATACTATAAGATTTCATTTCATTTCATCTATATCATAAGGATGGCTGCGTTAGATTTTGTTTCTTTTCACTGTTTTTATTTCATTTATTAAAAAAAAAAAGCCTTACCTGCTACCACTGCTGACAGGAGGAGGGGCATATCTATTTCCAGTGAAGGTCTCCCTGCCCTTTTGTAGTGGGCGGTGACCACGAGCATCTACAGCTGTTCCATTTGATTCCGGTGTTGCCTGTGGAAGATTTTAAGAAACTGCTGTGAGTAACAAATTTCCTCTCATTTCATAAATGTTGTTTTAAAGACATATTTCAAATTAAATCATGGCAGTGAGAATACTATAAAACTATGCTGGACAACCAAAATATTAAAATTAAAAATGAGGAAGCACAAATAAATGGTCTGTAAAATGGTCTGTATTTTTATAACGCTTTACTACATTCACACACTGGTGATGGCAAGCTACAGTGTAGCTACAGTCGCCCTGGGGCGCACTGAGAGAGGCGAGGCTGCTGGACACTGGCGCCACCGGGCCCTCTGACCAAAATATTTTATAAATACATCAAAAACTTGTTTATGCCATTCTTTTTATGGCATATAGAGTGCTCTCTTTTCAGTATTGTAAGTATATAAATGTAACTTGTCACCTTGATCATAAAATAACAGTGTGCCTTATATTTTGTTTTCTAAAACAGTAAATTGGAAAACTCATGGATGTCAATATTACTATCGACAATATTGTTTTCCAAAAATATATATCTTAGCATTAACAACACAATTTTGATTAGAGATTTTACGCATACTGGTGGATTAATCATACGATAAACATAAAAATTCTGATTCTGGTAATTACCAGTACTACTACTCTTAATTTAGGGCAGAACTGGCATAAAACCTCAAAACATTCGGTGGTGGTCAGACAAATTTGGTAAGAACTGTATTTAAAAAGTAAAACTTGAAATTATTTCAAAAACATGTTTCAATTTCTCCCAAACAAATTTAGCTCCTAACGTAGATCTTATTTTTTTTTAATTATGTGTAATCTATGTTTTAGCACCATTTGTCCATTGAGAATTAGAATTGAGAAGTTCTCATATGTGCAAATCAAATAAAAGATAAACCCAATCAAAATAGATACATGAATAAAAATAAAACAAAACAAGCAATGCATTTTTTTCAAGTCTAGCATTTCTCAGTAAAAATAGACCCAATCTGTGAAGAAATGTATTTCATAAAATAACATAACAGATAGACAGGTAGATATTTTGATAATAACACAGCTGAAATTTTAAACATAGTTCTTTACACAGTGTACACTCTTTTAAAAACTAACTGATACACTATGAAAGTAAGTTTAATATATTTTATTGACTATGTCCTTTCATCAAAGGAATTAATCAAAAAAATGTGTGATATAAAAACGTTTCCGCTTTAGACACATACTCACCAAGTCATCATCCTCTTCGTTATCAAACTCAAGGTCCTGTGCCCAGGCGACATACACACACAGATAAACCAACAGCAGTATCTTCATGGTGTACTTTATGAAGTTAGTCTTGTCACACACTGTCCAAACTGCCTTTTCTCTCCCAGACATTTGATTTTACCACATATTTATCCTCCATCTCTGCACATGCGTAGGCGTCCTCCCCCACTTGTATTGATCTGTTCCGTAACTGTTGGGACAGTTTACCCAATCTTAGTCACTGCCACACTAGGTAAGTCTGGGGAATGTCAATGAACAAAAGGGCAAAGGGGCCGAAAGGCAGAATGCCACAAAATGTGGTAACTTGTGTTTTTAAAAAGCTGTTTCTATCTAGTGAAACTTTTTCAGAACAATGTTATGATAGCAGCAAAAGCATCATTGCTTTAAAATAACATTTGAAATTCTTAGTTTCAGGAGTGGCAGATTGGTTAGAAACGTAGTGGCCTTAACTGTCCTTTAATATCAAAAACATAATATTAAAGAGGAGAAATTATATAACGTATTCTTTGAAGTGTGAAGAGTGTTTAGTGTTGGGAACTGTCTCCAGCGCTCCTTGATTCCTGTTTACTTTTGTTGTTTTCATTAGGAAAATGCAGAAAATGTACAGTGAGAACAGTTTTACGGTTTTCCCGAAGAACCTGCAGTGAGTCATGCATTGATTGGAGGTTAGGATGTTGAAACAACTGATATTTGTTTAAATCCAAAAGGGTACATTGTACAATGTTATGAAATCACTAAAATCAACACAGAGTCATGCGTGCACAAATGTGTGCTGCTGGACAAAGTATAATGTATTAAAAACCTTTGTTCTTTAACCTAATTTTTAGTAGTAGTTACTTTGTACTAAAGTGTGGCAGCCCCCACCCACTGCAACTCTCCCATATAAGAGTCACAATACCTTTCTTGGAAGACTCACTGGAGTCGTTCAAGAAACTTCTCAAAACTCACCTCTTCATCAAAACAAAACTTAACCTCGAGCCTTTTTAACTACTAGATACTCTTGTGCAAAGAATCCTTGGGTTTCTTGAAAGGTGCTATAGAAATCTAAGTTATTTTAAAGTTATTATTATTTTAAACAGGTGGTTTTATAGTAGCTGCTGGGTGAGACTGATCAGCATCCCCACACAGTAGGCTTGGGAATTAATAGATATCTCCATGATGTTAGTGTGTTAACTGAATGGTTTGTGTCTTAACCAAGTAAACAAATATGGTAACATATCACTGTATGAAAAGATTTTTTCTGACACAATATAGGTGTAATCAGTGTATGTATGATGTAGGAATGTCAATCAAATAGTGTCCTCACAGTGCAGATTTTCTGATCAATGTATGTCCCTAAAATGTAGGTTTTCAAAGACATTAGGTTTAGTTGGACCCGATTTCTATTGTGTGACAATAAACACAATTCATTTGTGTTGCTTTGTTTTTATTCTGTTTTTTATACTTAGAGTAATTGAAACATGCTTGATTATACAAAAATAGATTATTAGAAGAATTTGATCCAAGTTCACATGCACAAATGATTTGGATTTATATCTAGAACTGAACCAAATTCAGTAAACAACTGGTTGAACAAGAAAAACTACCCCTAAAGATGTTTTTAATACCTATTGATTACATTTAAAAACATAAAACAAAACAAAAAAGAGTAAGAAACAAATTTTGTGGGGCTGTCATGTGTAGTGCGTATAGTCAAGACTCTTGGTTTTTTCATCATCTGGTCTGAGTTCAGATCCTTTTCGAACAAACAAATGGGAAGGCATCATTGCAGGTTGCAGTGCACCACTTCAGATTATCTGCAAAAACAAGAAAAACACATGTGAATTTAAGAATTTCAAACTGGAATTATAAATTGTGTGTTTTAGCTGATCTTACTATCGGTCAGGGTCATTTTGTAGATTCTTTGTGACTGAATATGTGGCTGCTCTTATGTCAATACATTGGCAAAGGGGAATCTGACAGAGCCATTTTCTAAATGTTTCTAAAAACTTTGCTTTGGATGAGGTGTGGGGGAAAACATGAAGGTCTTAAGAGCATGCTTAAGATTCTAGCTCACTGTCAGGCACCTAGCAAACATTAGTAATCAGCTAATGCAGAGTATTTTTCAACCTTAGACCTACTCAAAGGATGTGAATGGCTTTGATTGTCCTTTAGGATATTAAAGTACAGAAAGTGTGTAAATAAAATATATTAATGGTAAAGCCAATCCATATATTGTCCTTGCTGTGTATATGTTCTAAGTGATCAGTGTATTTGAGATGCAGATATGTTTACTGACCAGATGTGCTAACTCGTGTCACTATAATACAGATGTGCTTTTTGACTAGTCTACTTATAATATATGTGTGCTAACTGTCCCAGCAATGCATGTGTACTTACTGGCTAGTTTTCCCCCAATATAGGAGTACTAAATGAACACCTTTATCTAGTTACACTCTTTTGTAAACTGTAGTTTGTAAAGTAATGTAAAACCCACCTTGACATTTTTATCTCCACTTAGAACATAAGTAAGAATAACAGCAGGCTAACTTTATCTGTACTCATATTAGTTTGTTGGTATGTGTACATGTCTGTGTATTTGTGTGTGTTTATAGCATTACAATGGCAATTTATCTTCATGCAGATGCTAGCTGTCTTCTTGGTGTTGTCATGGTCATCATCATCTTCACTGTCCTGCTCACTGGTATCATCATGGCTGTCCTTCTTACTGGATTTGCCATGGCTGTCTTGTTCACTTGTATCATCATGGCTGTCTTCCTCACTTGTATCGTCATGACTGTCCTTCTTGCTGGATTTGCCATGGCTGTCTTCCTCACTTGTATCATCATGGCTGTCTTTCTTACTGGATTTTCCATGGCTGTCTTCTTCATTTGTGTTGTCATGGCTGTCTTCTTCACTCGTATCATCATGATCGTCATCATCGCACCAGTCTTCATAGTAAAACTTGGAGCCATCAATCCACATCCAAAAACCAGGCTAAGGACAGACACAAACATACATAAATACATATAGTGAACTTGCATAGTTATATCTTAGGTGGGATTTTGGTAGTGTTTAAGTTTGCAACTATTTAATTTCCACTGAAGCTGCCAGATTTCAATCCTGACTAAGTGTACAGGCATGGATTATAACACTGATTTAAAAAAATAAATATATATCCATACATGGACGGCGCTAGTGGCACCAGCCCAGGTTTCTGGGAAGTTGTCGGTGTCCCCTCTGGTCAAAGACTGGACAAAGTGGTTTTCCTCATAATTGTGAATGGATGCCAGGTTGCCGCCATCGAACTGACAAAAAATCTGGTGGGAGCCATTTTGTATTCATTACAATACATATGAACAACTGAATGAATAGTATGTTGTATTCATCATCTCTATGATAGCTCACCTGAGCTTCAGTCCATGTCTTTGGGGTGCTGATATAGTTGAAACACCGGTCACCGAATCGAGACCAGCCGTCTGGGCAGTCTGAGTCCCCTATCACTTAAAAAAACAAAAAAAAAACAAAGTCCAAATCAACAAAATTAAAAAAAGCACAGTTATACTTATGTTTTAACATTTTGTGTGCTAGATCTGTTCATTATATTGCACATGTTTTTACTTGTCTTGTACAGGTTTCTCCTTTTGAATGACTTAGTGTAATGTGGGTACACATTGCTAAAGCCACTCACTGCAGTTAACAGGTGGGGTATCAGGTGGTGTTGTTGTATTCGGTATCTTCTTTCCAGTCATGATGTCAACGCACCAACAGTACCCGGTAGACCCGGAGCACTGCCTTGGAAGGAAGTTTCCATTGTCATCACACTTAGGGCAGAATGATCCAATGAGGTTTGAGCAATTCATTCTTTCATGGTAACAATGGCCTTTATCCCAGGACATGGTGGGGTTGATCGGAATGGCTTGGCTTATCGCCAGGACAGTGCACAGTGTAAGTGACACAGCAAGCATCTTCATGGTGATCGTGAAGATGATGATGGAGGAAGTTGACCTTCAGACAACACATCAAAATGTTAAAGTCTTGAGGGGGATTTTGTTTTAACCATGTGCTGAATATTGGAATATGCTGAATTTTAAGTGAAGCCTATTTTTACTTTTTTTTTTTTCTATTAAGAGATTTTACTTTGTAAGTTTCCAGGCTTACAAAAATTCTCTAAAAAAGAACAGATGTTAACCAAACCCTAACTCTAGCACTATATCACCAAGCTTCCTGTTGTGTTTGGGTCAAATCCGACTGATTTACAAATTAAAAATATTAATAAATAAATAAATATTGTGTTTTACATCTGATTGCCTCAAGGCCCTACGATTTCCTAAACACGACACACACTTGAACATATAAAAGTGATGAGCCCCTTTTTCGTTGAATTTTGAGTGTTTTAATGAACTTTGTTCTGTGGTGTTCCCACTCAAAATTGACCGCGATAGGAAATGAATGGCAGATCGTTACATGGAGAAACCTTTGGAATGCAAGCATGCTGATCCACACAGGTATGCACACAGGTGTACACACGGGTATTCACAGACGCGGACTACACCTTTCTTGGCTGCTGCCTCAAAGCACATTGTGCGCTGTCTTGCGTGCTGCACAATATCGTTTATTATTTAGTATCTACTGATATCTACTGCTAGCTAGTTTATTGTGATGGTGCTGTTTTTTTTATTATGTTGCTCTTTGTTGTTTGCTTTCTCTTATGTTTTTTTTCTCCATACAGGTGACCCAGGAGTTTTTTTTTGTTTGTTTTTTTCCTTTCTTCCCCCCCTTCTCACAGTCTCTTCTCCCCTTTGGTTTTCTTTCTCTCCCTCTCTTTCTTTCATTCTTTCTCCCTGTCCTATCCCCCAGTCATGTCTGTCCCGTTTGTAGCAACTGAAAATAAAATAAATTCATAATTATAATAAAGGTCAATCAAATGGACCAATATGGCAAGGCCATGATGATCCACTTGGTAAAATAAATCCGCTTGGCATCTTTCTTGGCCTTAAGACAACAATTCTGATGGCTAAAGATCCAAACGGGACACACAAAAAAAAAAAAAAAAAAAAAAAAAAAAGGAATGGGAATCCCCCCCCCCAAATTGAAAGACCCGCTTTTACAACCTACTGAACAACCCACTGAATGGCCCACTGAACAGCACATTGACCCACCCACTGAACTGAATTTGGTGGTGAAAAATGTTTCTTATGTTAATTTACAGCTGTTAAAACTGACTGGTTGTGTGCACCCCCACCCCCCTTACTGTAGTAAGTGACTAGAGGGCTAAGCATGATCTCGAAAAACATAAAATAGGCAAAACACAAAACAGTCACGAACAAGTAATCTATTTGTTTTGCATGAATTCTATTGTTTATTTTATTCAAAATTGTATAACACTTTCTAGTCTTACTGTTGTCAAAAAATGATATTCAGATAGTAATCAATACTAAAATTAATATCATGTAAAATACTGCAACAATATCAAAAATGCCATCTTGGTTTCCTTCTTTAGCTGACACAGAATTTCACACAGCACGGCTTTAAGAGGAATTTCAGTGGTGAAAGTTCCTGTTTCACAGACGCTAATATATTTTAATTATTAATGTTTACCCGATGAGTGCAAAAACTAACATTAGGCATTTAACTATTAGCAAATAGTCAAATGGACTGTGGATAGATAAAAGATAAATAATTATTGACAGCTTAACGGTTCAAGGATGGAATACTGAGCTGTGACAGAGAGACCTGGAGAACTGGGCGGGTTTGGCTGCGTGGAGCAACAGGGAAACCGGAGCTGAAGTGAGCAGAGTCCAAAGTGTGGAGAACTAGTCAGAACAAATTAAGAGTAGAGCAGCTCAATCAGACAGGTTTCAGGACTGAAAAAGGAAAGCAGACTGAGACGGAGCAGTGTGAATGGTGGATGAGAGAGAGGTTGCATGCTGATTAGGGATGGGTATCGTTTAGGCTTTATCCGATACCAGTACCAAACCGGTACTTTTGAAACTGTGCCGGTGCTTAAACAGTGCTCGAACCGGTGCTTAAAGAATGGAGAACACAAAATTGGTCCAAAAACCTCTCATGTTCAGCTGTTTTTTTGTAAAAAGACAACAATGTTAGCCTTTTCTGCAGCTAGAGGGCATATATGGTATCACTCTTGGCTGGAAGCAGTGCTTAATCAATGGAAAAAACACAAACCTTGTCCAAAAACCTCTCACGTTTAGCTGTTTTCCACTTTTTCTTTGGTCATTTTAGCCTTTTTGGCCAGGGTGAAGGGAGTATCTGCCATCAAACAAGACAGCTGCATGTAACTACGACTGTATTTGCTAGTTCACCTTAAATGCATTAATGTAATAACGTGGTTAGCCTACTCAGCGTAAATTACACACGAAGAACATTAAGCTACTCACGCAGAGAAGAACGGTTGCTGCTGCCATCATCATCATCATCATCATCCATCATCATTTCTGCTACACTGGCAGGGCTAGGGGCCAGGACTCTCCTCTTTGGGTTCTTGGGGGATGTTGCTAACTCCGGGTCCGATAAGAGGCACCACACCCGCAGTAGATGTGCTCGATGTGAGGTCTCGCAGCAAGCTATCAAATACGGTGCATTTCTCAGCTTTTAACAAAATGCTATACGTCGCCAGGTGTTTCATCAGATTCGAGGTGTTACCTCCTTTGCACAGTATCCCCTTAAACCATTTGTTTTGCTGCTGAGCTTGCATCTTTTGCTGTGAAGTACAGCCAGACTTTGACCGCTTTGCCTTGGGCGTTTTTAATCTGTAGCTCTGTTTTAAAAGAACGTGCGTACCTGGGCCCGCCTACTACGCTTGCAAAGGTAAAATGATTGGCTGGAATCCAAAGTGTATGACATCTCAGGGAAAAAAAAAAAGCACCGAAATAAAGCACCGAAATGTGCGCTGCTTTTCGGTCTGGTTACTACCGTTTATGTCAGAACCAATACCGGTACCCATCCCTAATGCTGAAATATGTGACAAAATCTACTTTTACAATCATTTATTAAAAATCTGTTTCTTATTTTGTTTTTAGTCAGCTGTTATAAATGCATTTATATGTTTAATCTGTGTCAGAGTGAGCACACAGTTTTTTTTTATATTCTTCTTCTTTTTAGAATAACTAATACCACGTTTTATCCAAAGTTCACTTGTAATTTTTCCATAATGTTTTTTTGTACAGTATTTCAATTATTTAGATGTAAATATAGTATCCTATATTCATTAATAGGTTCTAAAATATTTTTTAACTTGATCTATACTGGAATAATCTAAAAAATATGTAAAATGAATAGAACCTCTAAATTCCTCTTTGCCATGCAAAAGATGTATAAAGATGTATAAATAAAATAACATAAAATAACAGATAGCTAAGCCAAGATTGAGAAAAGGGATGGGTAGAGGTGGAGTGTGAAATGAAGGAGAAGGAACAAAGGCAGAGGGAGAGTTTTGATAAGGTTTAGGGAATGAGAGCAGAAGAGAATAAAGCAAAAGAAAAAAATAAGGAAAGACAATGTTTGCATCAAAGCAGAGGAAAGGGATGTAAGGAACAAGGACTGAAGAACAAGTAGAGAGTTTAGAGTTAGATTTAGGAAAAAGTGAGGAAGGAAATTTAAAAATGGACAAAAGAAAGAGTGAAAGGTTAGGCTTAGGTAAAACAAGTAGAAGTAGGAGCATTGTAAGAAAATATTCTTATTTAAAACAGTGGCTTTGGAAAATGATAACCCAGTTAAGAAAACTTGAGTTAAATATACAAAAAAATAAAATTTACAAATAATCTAATTTTCACATTTGGTTTTTTACTTCCCCCCAATACAGTTTCCAAAAAATAAATAATAGATTAAGAAAAGCCACATTTCATCCACACGAGATGCTTCTTTCTCAAAAAATTGTCATAGTTGTGAGAGATTTTTATAATTTATAATTCAATTTTTGTTTGCAAAAATTATTGTTTGAATTACTACAAATGTCTTCAGATACTTAAAAATCTGACTTGTTGATTTTTTTATGCAATAAGCATTTGCATTTTAATTTTAATATTAATTTTCATAAAAGAAAAAAAAGTGTACTCACTCTGCTCAGTGTCAGCTGGAGTGCTGATTCAGGTTTGAAAGCGTCTGCTGTGTCTTCTCCCTTTATTCTGCAGATTCTGCTTTGTCATGATATGATTTCCCACAGAAGCACTGGATCACAATTTCACATGATGCATTAATTGCCCTTTTCATCATGCAGCACTTCATCTTACTCCTTTTTTTACTCATTGTGTATCAGAAAATGAGCCATTGTGAGTGTATTTATTCTTTTCTCAGAATGTTAAGTCATTATGAGTTTTGTGTTACATCACTTCCTTCTTGGTATTCACAGAGACTCATTGAGTCTTGAGTTCCCATACAGTCTGTTTAGGTCACAGGTAACTTTAGTTACAACCTTGTATTGTGTTAATCTGGGTTACAGACAGCTTTTGCAGGTAAATATAAAACACCTTAGAAATGCATCATACATTTTTATTATCCCACTTCAATCTAATTAAGCAACCTGCTGATCATACTGCCGTTTAATATAATCTTGTTGTATTATTATGTTTTTTTTAATATATATTGCAGTAACAGACATGCCTGGTTTCTTGTAATTGAAAAAGTTGTGTGAAAATGGGGAAAAAAATAGTTGAATGCTACCTGCTATCTTGTTTGCCTCTTTATGAGGAATTGTTCTTCAAATTATTTATTATTTAAGAAGAATTTACTTATATGAGTTTTGTTCTGACTCCTTAAGAGTCGCCCCACATATTATGTGGTGTTATACAAGTTCATGCAGTCTTCATTTGTTTCTGGGGCACTGTTCATTTTATTTTGACATCCTACCTGACACTGCTTTGTGTCTAAAAGGAAAAGGGCAGTTAGCTACTCCTGTGCCTACCTATGCTGCCTCTTAAGCCAACACAGTCTGTAAGTTGGCAGTAATGTTGTGTTTTACCAGTGTGTGTTTGGCACTAACTGCTGTGAGTTGCTTGTGATAGTTTGAGCAAGTGAATTCTCCTAATGATGTGCTTCATTTGATACTAGCCTAGACGCTAATTAGCGCTAGCTAATTGCTAATGTTAGCTTGTGTAGTTCTGCTTCTCTTTGCATAGTAACAGGTCATAGCATCTTCCAATTCTAAAAAATGTTTGCTTATGTCAGCTCTTACGTTTTATTTTTGTTAGATTTGTGTTCTCATGAGTAAATATGTTAATTTATCTTATGTTGTGAAAGACGTTTTCTGATTGTCATTTTATTTTGGAAAGGATTTTATTTTGGTGATTATGGATTACTTCCACATTCAAACTGACTACTTTACCTACTGGTAGAAATACCATTGGAGGAAAATGGGTCTACGCCCTCAAAGAAAATGAACAAGGACAAATATTCAAAGCCAGGTTTGTAGCAAAAACAGTTACGAACTTTGGGAGGGAAAGTTTCTCGGCCACATGCGGATCATTGGTCTAAAGGACACTATATTATCAGCCACTAACCCAGATGCAGAGAAGAATGCTGAATGCTACGCTGAACTAATACAGTTTCTTGATGATAAAAGCCTTTCACTGGTAATGAGACATGCGACTGACGACGGAAGAAAAGCTTTAAAAATACTACGTGACCACTACGATAGTAAAGGCAAGCCCAGAATCATCGCACTGTACACAGAGCTGACGTCTTTACAGAAGAAACCAGATGAGACAGTGACAGATTATATTATCCGAGCTGAAAAAGCAGTGACCTCCCTAAGAAATGCAAAAGAAGTCATCAGTGATGGACTTATTATCGCTAGGATTTTAAAGGGGCTTCCTGAAGCTTACAAGGCATTTGCTATTCACACAACTCAAAGCAGTGAAGATTTAACATCCACACAGTTCAAAAGCAACCTACGAAGTTATGAGGAAACCGAGAAATTCGACAACAAAGTAAAAGCGGATAATGTGATGAAGGTTGATTTAACATCAATCACCTGCCATGGATGCAGAAACCGAGGACATTTTGTAAAAGATTGTCGCCAAAAGGGAACACCTAAGTGGTGTACCTACCATAGAAGCTCGACACATAGTGATGAGACATGTAGAAGAAAAACCAAGTACAGAGATGATGCGAAACTAACTGTAGTAAAACAAGAGGACAAGAAAGAAGAGCAGACTTTTGTATTTAAAGTTAGTCAAAGACTTCTGCCTACTGACATAATAAGAGAAGGACTAATGGTGGACTGTGGTGCTACTTCACACATCATTACAGAGAAGAACAAGTTCATAAAGTTTGATGAGACTTTTGATCCTGAGAAACACTACATGGAGCTCGCTGATGGATCCAGGACAAACAACGTCGCACTCAAGAGGGGAGATGCCAACGTCTCTCTACGGGACATACAAGGACACTGTACCACCATCACACTGAGAGATGCCCTGTTCATCCCATCCTACCCTCAGAGCATATTTTCAGTGAAGGCAGCTACAACCTATGGAGCGCAGGTGGTCTTCAAGAAGGGACAGAATGAACTAGTGAACAAAGATGGGACAGTCTTCTCCATTGAAGAATACAACAGACTCTACTATTTGAAAACGGTAAACAATGAAACATCATACAATGACATGATGTCCTGTGACACTGTTAATCTGGCTTGTGATGTGAAAACATGGCACGAAATTTTAGGACATTGTAATGTTAGCGATGTGTTAAAGCTACCTGATGTTGTAGATGGCATGAAAATCACAGGCAGTGGTATGTTAGATTGTAATGTGTGCACAGAAGGGAAATTCACTAACAACAGAAACAGACAAAGCGACCCAAAAGCGAGTGAGCCATTACAGTTGGTGCACACTGATCTAGCCGGCCCCATTGAACCAAGTGGCCAAAGTGGTCATAAATACGCTATATTATTTACGGATGATTTTTCAGGGGCAGTGTCAGTTTACTTTCTAAAACAGAAAAATGACACCACACTTTTCTGGCAGCTCTTTACTAGAAAAAGAGCTGCCAAAAGGATTATGGCCTTATGCCATTCAAAATGCAGCACACACCCACAAGAAATGCTACAGTAACAGGACTAAAAGTACACCCTATCAGATGTTAACAGGGAAAAGACCAGATCTCTCAAAACTGTGGATATTTGGGTCAGACTGTTATGCATACATACATGATCACAAGAAACTTGATCCCAGATGTGAAAAGGGAATATTTGTGGATTATAGTAAAAATTGCCCAGCATACCTGGTTTATAACCCCCACACAGGAAAAGTGTCAAAACACAGACTCGTGAGATTTATCAAGAAGAACACTGTTGAACAACAAACACAGACTGATGAATATGACACAGAAATTCAGACTTATGAGCACGTAGTGCCTTCAAAAGAAAGTACAGAACAAAAAAATGAAAATGCAGCAGAGAACAGACCTCGTAGAGAAGAGGAAACCAACACAAGTGAACCAAACCCTGACATAGAAAGAAATGAGGGTGATGAGCAAAACCAAACTGAGCGCTATCCTAACAGAGAAAGGAAACTTAAATATTTAGAGGATTACACATCTAACTGCAAAGATTTAGCAAATGTAACTTCTGTAAGTGTTGATTATTGTTACAGAGCAACCTGCGGAATCCCCCAAACCTATAAAGAGATGCTAATGTCACCAGAGGCACCAAGGTGGAAACAGGCAATGAGAAGAAATCAACTCTCTGAAAGAGAATGACACATTCAAACTGACTACTTTACCTACTGGTAGAAATACCATTGGAGGAAAATGGGTCTACGCCCTCAAAGAAAATGAACAAGGACCAATATTCAAAGCCAGGTTTGTAGCAAAAGGTTACAACCAGACACAAGGAATAGACTACCAAGAGACATTTGCACCAACAGCAAACATGATATCTGTGCAAACCTTAATGCAAATAGCAGTCCAGAATGATCTTATTATCCACCAAATGGATGTTAAAACTGCATATTTGCATGCTCCCATTGAGGAAGAAATATACATGGACCAACCAGAAGGTTTTGAGCAAACAGAGTCAGGAGAAAACTTGGTGTACAAATTAAAGAAATCCCTTTACGGGTTAAAACAATCAGGTAGAAACTGATGCAAACTCTTGAATGACTACCTTGAAATAAATGACTTTGAAAGAAACCTTTCTGATCACTGTGTATACAGAAAGGACATTGAACATGAAACTCTACTGGTTATCATCTGGGTAGATGACTTGATCATTGCGGCTAGCAATACTAACTTGTTAAACACATTCAAAGAAACAATGAGGTCAAAGTTTAACATGAAAGACCTGGGGAAAATATCCAGTTTTCTTGGGATACAGTTTATACAAAAAGAGAGTGAAATCAGGATGAATCAGAAGAGGTACATTCAAAGAGTGTTGGAACGCTTTGGGATGTCTGAATACAAACCCAGATCCACACCGTGTGAACTAAAAACGGACACTACTACATGTGGAGGAAGTGATGCAAATGAGACTTAACTCAAGAGAGTACAGAGAAATAGTGGGCAGTTTGATATATGCCATGACGTGTACAAGACCAGATATAAGCTGGGTTGTTAGCAGACTATCTCAAACACTAGCTCAACCCACGAGAGAGGACTTAGTAATGGCAAAACAAGTCCTCAGATACCACATTAAATTATTGCTACAAATTGAATTTACTAAAAGTAAGCACACATTTTTTTAAACAAATTCCGTTTCTCCCCTTAAAGCTAGACGTTTTTCAGATTGAGCCTTTAAGGATTGACCACACTGCGTATAAAAGACAGACGCAGTCGTAACACACACCAGTTCAATATTGCAGTAACATAGCTCATAGCTACTAACGTAGCTCATTCAGAACTCTGCTGCTCGAGTCCTCACTAAGACCAAAAAAAGTGGACCACATCAGTCCAGCTCTGAGGTCTTTACACTGGCTGCCTGTCCGTCAGAGGATAGACTTTAAAGTTCTGATGCTGGTCTATAAAGCTCTGAATGGTTTAGGACCAAAATACATCAATGACCTCCTGACCCAGTATGAACCTTCCAGATCCCTCAGGTCATCTGGATCCGGTCTTTTATCAGTTCCCAGAGTCAGAACCAGACACGGAGAAGCTGCATTCAGCTTTTATGCTCCTTATATCTGGAACAAACTCCCAGAAAGCCT